CACTCACTGAGGAATATTTGCAAAGTCTTCATTTCCGTGGCTCCCCAGCTTTCTGAAGATCTCAGGTGGGATTTCTCCGGACAGCGTCTCCGTCATGGAAGTCTGGGAAAGCACTCCTTTCCGCAGCCAGGAAGGGAGGGATGAAACTGGAGCTCATTGTACATTGTACGGACCTCCTGACTTTCCAGCACATTGATAGGACACTAGTCCAGCCTGGGGGTGGACCTCAGTCCAGGAAGTTTAGAGACAGACATCAGGAATCAATCAGTCATCCAGAGGATCAGTCACCCAGGAATCAGCTAGCCAAGAACCAATCATGTAGGGATCAATCAGCCAGGTATTACCTAAAGATCATTCAGGAATCTATCACCCAGGATCAGTCACTCAGGAGTCAGTCATCAGAGATCAATCACCTGGGGATCAGTCATGTAGGGATTGGTCATCTAAGGATAATTATCAGAGGATCGACCACCAAGGGATCAGTTATCCAGAGATCAGTCAGCCAGAAAACAATCACTCAGGAATCAATCATCCAGGATGGTCCCTTAGGACAATCATTCAGAGATCTGTGGCCTGAGAATCAATCATTCATGGATCAATCACCTAGGGGATCAATCACCCAGCGATCATCAGGAATCAATCACCCAGGATCAGTCACTTAGGGCAATCATTCAGAGATCTGTGACCTGAAGATCAATTATTCATGGATCAATCACCCAGGTATCATCCAGAGATTATCCATGGACCTGATATCTAGGATAAGTCACTCAGGAATCAGTCATCCATCCAGGGGTCTGTCACCTGAGGATTAGTCATTCATGGATCAGTTACCCAGCAATCAACTATCCAGAGAGCAGTCAACAAGGATCAATCACCAAAGGATGGATCATCAGAAGGTCAGCCACTCAGGCTTCACCCAGGTATCTGTCTCTGCAGAGCAGCAACTGTGCTCTTTTAGCCAATTCCTGGCGTTCTCAGGATGGTGATGCAGTGGCAAGCGGAGCAGAGGAGGAAGGCTGTGCTCCCCAGCATCTCAGGGGGATGGAGTCTCCTGACCACCCCACCAGCGCTGAGTGCTAAGGATGCGGTTTTCTCTTGTGGAAGGACACAGTCCTGTTGTCCTCCCCAGTGCTGACTGAGATGGAAGATCCAGGCGCTGGGGAATCTTCCTGGCGCATGGAAAATCAGTTGCACAAATCTCATTATTGCTAATAGTTCTGTAATGTTATTTTTCCTGCTAATTTGTATAGATACTTTTCTCCCTCGTTGATTTATTGAGATATTTAACAGCATAATACAAATGAGAAAAACAATCCACAGTTGAGAAACAGAGCGCATACTCTGGCGGCTGCCAGGCCTTTTTCCCCCCCTTATCCACTTGCAATTGTGGTGTAAATATTGCTATGGATATATAGCCCAGTGAGTCACAACTGGAGTATAAAATGCTGAATATGCTAATTTGGGGAAGCCAGAATTAAGCAGAATAAAAATGTGAATTTTCTTCTGTTAACTCAGAACGAAATGATCTTGGTATGACTTTGCCCTCCCATTTTTGAGTGCGAATGGATTGCCAAATAAATCGTTCAGTGTTAGGATTCTATATCAATATTTCAAAATGTTTTTTTTTTTAAAAAAAAAAAAGCACCTAGTTCCTGGAACTGTGACAGGGTGCTTAAAATAAAGTATGGCCTTCAGGGGATGGTGAAGGAAAGAGGAGCTGCCACTCCCCCACCCCCCCTCCATTCCCCACCCCCTCCCCTCCCCTACCCTTGGCAGGAAAGTATTACAGAAGCAGTAATGCAGACTGAAGAGCTCATACAGAGTGCCCAGAGCTCTAGATTCTGGGTTCCTCATTTCAGTGGATTTAAACAATACCCAGTTTGCAAATCAGTATTTTTTTTTGCAAGTCAGTATTTTTGTCTTTAGGCTTTTACAGCATTAAATTCTCTTTTTTATTATTTTTATTTTTGTCAGTTTGGGGGCTTGAACTCAGGTCATGGGCACTGTCCCTGAGCTCTTTTTTGCTCGAAGTTAGCACTATACCACTTTGAGCCACAGCACTACTTCCAGTTTTTGAATGGTCAATTGGAGATAAGAGTCTTGTGGGGACTTTCCTGTTTGAGCTGGCTTCATACTGCAATCCTCCCAAGTAGCTAGGATACAGGTGTGAGCCACCAGCATCCAGCATTAAATCACCTTTTTTAAGAAGGAAAGTAACAGTCCATAATTGCTTCAGCATTAAAAGCCCTTGAAACAATGACTTGTTCAATTTTAATAAGCACTAAATAAAATGATAGTGGTCATTGCTTACTGAGGCCCTGAGAGAGGCCATGGAATGTAAAGATTGGTGTGTGAATGGATGGGTAGGTAGATAATAGATGTGTGGATGAGTAAGCAATGAGTAGATGAGTGGATAAGTGGATGGATAAATGAATGGGTGGGTAAGTGGGTGGGTGGATAAGTCAATGGATGGATGGGCTGGGCACTAGTGATTCAGGCCAGTCATCCTAGCTACTCACATTTCAAAGCTAGCCTGGGCAAGAAAGTCCTAAGACTCTTATCTCCAATTAACCAACAAAAAACTAGAAATGGAGCTGAAATTCAAGTAGTAGAACACCAGGCTTCAGCAAAAAAGCTAAGGAACACTGCCCAGGCCCTTAGATCAAGCCCTAGTAGGAGCGCATGTGCATGCATGTACATACACACACACACACACAGTGGATGGATGAATGAACGGGAAAAAGGGAGGGAGGAAGGGATAGAGGGTGGAGGGAAGAAGAGTGATATTTATTGAACTCTTAAAAAATTCAAGAGCCTTGCCAGGTACCAGTGGCTCATGTCTGTAATCCTAACTACTCAGGAGGCTGAGATGTGAGGATCACGGTTCAAAGCAAGCTCAGGCAAGAAAGTCGGTGAGACTCTTTTTTTTTTTGGGTCCAGTCGTGGGGCATGAACTCTGAGCATGGGTGCTGTCCCTCAGCTCTTCAGCTCAAGGCTAGCGCTCTACCACTTGAGCCATAGCACCACTTCCAGCTTTTTTTTTCTGCTTATGTGGTGCTGAGGAATCGAACCCAGGGCCTCAGGCATGCAAGGCAAGCGCTCTACCACTGAGCCACCTTCTCAGCCCTTGGTGAGACTCTTATCTCCAATTAACTACTAGAAAACCAGAAGTGGCGCTGTGGCTCAAGTGGTAGAACACTCGACTTGAGCTGAAGAGCTGGGGTACAGTGTCCAGGCCCAGCATTGAAGCCCCACCCCCGACCAAAAAAAAATTCAAGAGCCTTACATGAATACGAATGTGACCCCCATAGAGGAGGAGAAGTAAAGGGGCACACCAGCCTGCTCCCAATGTCCTTATGCAAAATTCACATATGAAGATATATACCACTTCAACAACCAGTCTGTGTGTGAACCTTAATAGTTTAGGTAGGGGGAAGAAAAGCACTTTTAAGTTATGACTTGCCACTTTGACGTTAATCCTGTGATGGGTGTCTTGATGAGAACTGACTGTAAGTGTAAATATTTTGACTTTCTTTATCTGCCTGTGCCTTTAAAATCACTCACATCTACTCCTTCATTAACCTGTGCCTACAAGGACTTCCACTGGGGTGAACTCTTAAGTCCTTTGCAAATAGAGTCTTCCACCCAGGCACATTTCCTCCCGTTTATGGTAGACTTACCTGTCCCTGTGCTCACACTGAGGTGTGGGATCTGAGGCTCAGTTGCCTTCAGGCCCCATAAAGCTGTCAGCACATGCTCATGCATATTCAGATAGCTCTTCCTCCCCACGTCTCCTGCTTTTCAAAGTATCACGTACCTGCGACTATAAAAGAAAATATAATTTGTGAAGGATTGCTACTTCAAATGAACACTTTGGGCTCAGAGCCTACCTTTTAGCAAACAGCCTCCTCAGGGAGCAAATTTATACTTGATTTTACAAACACTCATGTTGTGCTTACTATGTGTGAAACACTGCTGTAAGCACTATGTAAACAAAAGACGTGTTTAATCCTCAAAGCAAACCTACAGTATAGATGCATTGGTTAACATTGTGCTGCAGATGAGGCCCAGAGAGGTTCAGGACTCTGCCTGAGGTCACACAGGTCATGAGCAGAGTAAGCCCTGCACCAGGGCTGTGTACCTCCATATTCTGTCTGATCCACAGCCAGGGTGCTGTGAAGTCTTTAGTTTTGTTGTTATGTTGATGATCTTATTACTTGTTTGCTCTAGGGACCTCATCTAAGAGAGTCTCCCAGTGTGTGGTCTTTTGTGACAGGTTTAATTTCCTTAGTGCTTAGAGTCTTCAGGGCTCATCCCTGAAGACATGTCAAAATGGTCAAAATGTCCTTTCTTGACAGGCGCTGGTGGCTCGTGCCTGTAATCCTAGCTACTCAGGAGGCTGAGATCTGAGGATCACAGTTCAAAGCCAACCCCGGGCAGGAAACTCCGTGAGACTGTTATCTCCAAATAATAATTGGAAAACCGGAAGTGGCATTGTGACTCAAGTGGTAGAGTGCTCTCCTTGAGCTAAAGAGCTAAGGGACAGCACCCAGAGTTCAAGCCCCATGACCAACCAAAAAAAAAAGTCCTTTCTTTATAAGCCTGTGTCATATTCCCTTGTGGACATACTCCATGTTTTAGTTTGTCGATCTGTGAACACTTGAAATTGTTTCCGCCGGCGCCGATGGCTCACACCTGTAATCCTAGTTACTCAGGAGGCTGAGATCTGAGGATCGAGGTTCAAAGCCAGCCCAGGCAGGAAAGTCCCTGAAAATCATATCTCCAATAAACCACCAGAAAACCACAAGTAGTGCTGTAGCTCAAGTGGTAGAGTGCTAGTCTTGAGCTGAAGAGCTGAGGGACAGTGCCCAGGCCCAGAGTTCAAGCCCCACGACCAACCAAAAAAAAAAAAAAAATTGAACAAGGATGCAAGCTCCAGGTAGCAGGGCTGGTATCTGGGAGGAGAACCAGCCTGACCTCCAATGTGCTTCCCTTTGCAGATGAAGGTTTGTGGGACATGTTTGTGAAGGACATTCCCCAGAGCACCACTTCCTACACCGTCGGCCTGGACAAGCTCCGGCAAGGGGTGACGTACGAGTTTCGGGTGGTGGCTGTGAACAAGGCCGGCTATGGGGAGCCCAGCAGCCCTTCCACAGCAGTGTCAGGTAGGGGCCCTTCCAGGGAACTGGAGAGGAACAGCCCTTTTTTCCACAGGAAGAAGGGGTAATTAGACCCATGCATCCACCATCTGCTCATCCATCCATCCACCCACCCACCCATCCATCCATTCATCCATCCACCCACCCAACCATCCATCTACCCATCCATCTACTCATCTATCCACTCATCCATCCACCCATACACACGTACATACATACATACACACATACATCATATATCAGTGCATCAGTGAGAGGAGAGGGCAGTGCTAAATTTTGGCCAGGCACTCCCCATTCTCAAGCTGCTAGGGAAGCGACACAGGGAGTGTGGTTAGGGGTCTCTGTGGTGTGGCCAGTGCCAAAAAGAACTCAGACTTCAGAGCCACCCCAAGTGTCACCTGTAATGACACCTTACAGGCAGGTTGAGAGTCCTGGCCACCTTGTGATTTTTTTTACTCTAGATCTTCATTTTTTATGAAGTCTGAGACATATGCCAGAGTGAGTGGGAACAGTGTGAGGCTAGCATTACCCTTTGAGAAGACAGTGGTCCAGTGAGCAGAGTCCAGTGAGTTTGTAATAAATGAAAATTAGGAAAAATAAAGCTGAGCTCCAGTGGCTCATGCCTGTCATTCTAGCTACTCAGGAGCTTGAGATCTGAAGATCAAGTTCAAAGCCAGCCCAGGCAGGAAAGTCTATGAGACTCTCCAATTAAACATCAAAAAGCCAGAAGTGGAGCCATGGCTCAGGTGAGACAGAACTAGCCTTGAGTGAAAAAGCCCAGGGACAGTGCCAGTTCTAGCCCCAGTACCAAGGGAGACGGGAAAGAGAGAGAGGAGGAAGAATGGGAGGAAGGAGAGGGAGAGAGAAAAAAAGGAGAGGGAGGGAGGAAGAGAGACAGGGAGGAAGGAGAAGGAGAGAGAAAAAAGAGAGAAAGAGAGAGGGAAGGAAGAAAAGAAGGGAAGAGGGAAGGAAGGAGGGAGAGAGCAAAAGAAAATAATTAGGGTAACATTGTCCAAAAAGGAATATACTCTTTACCTGAAACTATAACCCCTCTGTTCATCAGAGGGGTTTAAAAACATTTTAAAAAAGAAAAGAATTTGAAATAATGATAGCAATACTCATTTGCTTATTTTTTTTAATTTAAATGTGCCCCAAACGGCACAGAACAGGGTCAGAAGCCCCCAGCACCCATCTCCCCAGATCACTAGTTGAAGAATCACTTTATTAGTTCTGTATGGAAAAGTCACGCGAAGCCATTCCAGAGCCACGTGACTAAGTCCACAGGCACAGCTGATGGCAGAGTGGCTCAGTGGTTGTGCCCAGTCCCTTCCTGGGCATCATGTCTTGGCATGTCTCTGAGATCTTGCATCCAGAGCTGCCCAGCCTCCACCATCACCCATTGGCCTGGCCTCAAAATGCCAGCTGTACCATGGTCCTTTCCCACAGTGAGCAGCCCACAGGCCAGGTCCACAGCCAGGCCTGCTTCTGTGCCCTGGGGGCAGAAGGTGGCGGGGAGGGTAGCTGGGATGTGTCAGCCTTCTTAGATGACGTATGGAAGACACAGCCTAAAAACCCGCTTCTATCTTCTAGATTCAAAATACTATCATCACCTAAGAACCCTGTGGTGTAACATTATCCAAAGCCAATTTCCCACTTTCTTCATCCATCCAGTGAGATGGTTAGCACCAGGTAGATGCGCTTTCTGTGGTTTGGGCCACTGGAGGCAGCCCTGGGCTTTCCTGTGAGAGGCTCTGTGGTGGAGGGCCCCCTCCCATGCCAGAGCCAGGTCTCCCACAGAGAAGTACCTGAAAAGCACAGAGGGGACCCCAGGGCTACTGGGCACCCACTGAGAAGCTATTTCCCATTTTTCTGTTCTTACTAAAGAGAAGAAAAGCAAAGGAAGAGTCTGCTTTTGCCAAAGCAGCTTTTACACAAAACCCTTTCTCAACTCCGTTTTTCTAAAGGCGCAAAATACATAAAGCACAGTCCTGCCTGGAAGCCAGGGCTCCAGTCAGATAGAGGAAGCTCACAGGTAGACAGCTGACAGAACTGGGGAGTGCCCGCAGGTGACAGCCAGGGCGAGATGGGATCCCAGGACGTCAAGGGGAGTACATGCTTATAATCCCAGCTACTGGGAAGCAGAGATAGGAAGACTGCAATCTGAGACCAGCTCAAACCAAAGCTTGAGATCCTATCTGAAAAGCAAACTAGCCAGCCAGTGGCTCACACCTATAATCCCAGCTACTCAGAAAGCTGAGCTCTTGAGGATTAAGGTTCAAAGCCAGCCCAGGCAGGAAAGTCCCTGAGACTCCTATCTCCAATTAACCTCCAGAAGACCGGAAGTGGAGCTGTGGCTCAAGTGGTAGCGTATTCACCTTGAGCTGAAGAGCTCAGGGACAGCGCCCAGGCCCAGAGTCCAAGCCCCACAACCAACAAAAAAAAAAAAAAAATACAAACTAAAGCAAAAAATGACTGGGGCTGTGGCTCAAGTGACACACTGTTCATCTACTCAGCACAAAGCCTGGACTTCAGTCCCCAGTACTGCAAAAGGAGCGAGGAGGCACCAGAAGGTGCTGCTCGCGGCAGGCAAGCTCAGTGTCCTCAGCAGGTCCCCAGGGGTGATGCAAGGTGGGTGTGGGGAGAGTGGAGCGAGCAGGAGAGTTGGGTTGCTGTGGTGTGGGTAAGAAGTGGTGAAGGTGGTGACGGAGGACAGGCTGGCTGGGGAAGCCCCCAGGAGAGCTCACGTCATCCTAGGCAAGATGCCAGCGGATCGGCAGGACCAGGATTTATAGATCTCCAGGCCCGGAGGAGCTGACTGTATAGAAAAAGTCGGGGGAGTGGGGAGGAGGGTGGCTGTGGCTGCATCCCCAGCCCACCTTCAGCACTCGGGTGACCTTTTTCACAGCTCAAGTGGAAGCCCCATTCTACGAGGAGTGGTGGTTCCTGCTGGTGATGGCGCTGTCCAGCCTGCTCATCATCCTGCTCGTCGTGTTCGCCCTGGTCCTGCACGGGCAGCACAAGAAGTACAAGAACTGCGGCGCAGGTATGTCAGCCTCCATGCTGGGCACAGGTATGTCGGCCTCCATGCTAGTCCGGAGCGGGGTTCAGCCTTTGCTTTTCTCTCCCGGATCAAGCAGTGTCCCCATTTGTCTGTCTGGGAAAAAAAGCAAGCCTAGGCGAGACTCGGGAAGAACCAAACAGCCAGAGAGCTGCTGAGCCAGCTCCAGCCCCCATGAAAGCTGTGGGTATTGGAGCCGCTCGCATCCCTGAGACTCCTGTCCTCCTTCACACCCTGGCTCAGACGCTCTAGTGTTTTAAACACAATCAGACAGAAGAGCATCAAACAGGTGAAGTATACCAGCCACTCAAGTGCGAATGACAGAGGCCCTCCCCAGGTATTTTCGGGTGCCCCAGAGAGTATGGCAGCCCTGCGGTGGGCTCACAGCCCCCTCTCTCCTGGCTTCAACCTCCCTTAAGGTCGCCCTGACGCAGCTCCAGCCCTCCAAGGGCTGGCTTGCGTGCTCACAGCACAAGCTCCACATCTGGCAAAGGTCAGGGTAAACATCTGCTCACCAAATCGCCGTCTTTAGGGAAATGAACCAAGTGGACATGTGCATGTGCCAGTCAGAAGCAGCCAGCACAGCAGCGGCCTCTGGGTGGAGAGCAGACAGGGAAGGTGCGAGAGGAAGGTCCTGTGGAATGGTCATATTCATCTTCTGGGCAGGATTTTTCTCAGGTTTCTAGGTCAGCTGGCTGGCCTTTGTAGAAAGGCAGCCCCTGCCCACCCCCTACACACACACACTTCCCCACCCCCTAAGGCCCTATTAAAGAAGAACCCTATGGGGTGCCAGCAGGCTCCTGGAATCACCCCCATCCACTGTAGGGTTAATAAAAATGCCTGACCATTCGCTTTGGTGTAATGTTCAGTAATTCATCCCTCGAAGAAAGGATTTATCCTTTTTTTCTGTATAAATTCACTTCTAACAAGTGTTCATAAAATCAGATTTTATTCCTGCGGGATTTGCAATGTATGAATGGCATGTCATTTCACTGAGTTAATACCATTATGGAATCCTATGTGTGGTGCATAGAAAATATCTCCACTTTCCAGCCTCTGTTTCTCCATCTGCGGAGGAGGGTTTGGGTGGACGACAGACTTGAGAAAAGACAGGTCAGACCTACCGCTGCTGTTGCCACCTTGCCCTGGAGTATTAATTTAACCTCATAATTGAAGCCAAGGAGGGAGCATGCTGGCCTTCCCATAAGCCCCTGCAGGTCCCTTCCAGTGCTCCCCCAGGCCCCAACCTTCTGGGCTGAATTCCTTTCTGACTGTGGTTCCCACCTGCTGGCACACCGCTGCCCACACACGAACCCCACCAGGCAGGGCCGTCTCCCACTCACAGCTCAATGTCTGCCAGTGCTGGTTGAACACCATCAGAGTATGTTGGTTCATGGAGGGGACTGGATCCCCATCAGAGAGGTTTCACTGGCATGGGGTGGGGGAGGTGGGGTGGCAAGGTGGACTCTGTCCCAGGGGAACTGATTAGTAAGGATCATAGGTCACAAAGCCCCTCCCTCCAAGAGCATCTTGTCCAATGAGGAGATGGAGAGAACAGATTCTAAGAAGCAGCCAAAGTGGGGTGCAGAACATTGATCAAAACGAACTAAGCAACTCAATGGCAGTGGTGGGAGGGAGGGAATGAGCGGGAAAGAGGGAACAGCTGATGCTATGCAAAAGGAAAGGAATGTACATATCACCTGATGTGGAAGAAATAACTGGATTGTCAAAGCCCATAGAACTCATAAACTTCATAGACCACGATAGACAGCCCCATGAAGGTTAGAATGTGTCTGTGACTTTAACTAAGCATCACTATCCCACATACTGTGAAATTATGTAATCACTTAACCACAATAAAGAATTAGCCAAAAAAAAAAAGTCCCCCGAGAGTGGCATGGGGGGTGAGTAGTAACACCAGTGTGCCGACACAGGGAGGAAGCCCAAAAGGAGCCCTCTGGTCATGGGACACTTGCTGTAGTCCATTTTTTTTCTTTTATTATCTTTTTTGTTGGTTGTGGGGCTTGAACTCAGGGGCTGGGTGCTGTCCCTGAGCTCTTTTGTTCAAGGCTAACACTCTACCACTTTGAGCCACAGCTCTACATCGGTTTTTTGAGTAGTTAATTGGAGATAAGAGTCTCGCAGGGACTTTTCTGCCCAAGCTGGCTTCGAACTGTGATCCTCAGATCGCAGCCTCCTGAATAGCTCAGATTACCAGCATGAGCCACCAATGCCCAGCTCCTATAGTCCATTTTCTGTTGGTAACAAATGCCACTGAATAGGAAAGGGAGCCTCTCCCCGGTCAAGTAGGGATGTTGGCAAGGGCCTTCTTGCTGGCAGAGTCTGAGGCCAGGCAGAAGATCACTTGGCAGAGAGAGAAAAAGTGTGCCAGGGACCCAGCCAAATGGGCTTTTGGAGCGGATCAGCACTGCTAATCACTAGGGATGCTCTATTAATTGGCCTGATGGAATGACCCTTCTCAGAGTCCCAGCCCACCTGACCACCCTGTGAACCTGACACCCCACCCCTCCTCCTGTGGCTTATGATGGGGATTGGATTTCAATGTGTTTCCCAGGGTACTCACCAGATGCAAACTCCAGGCACATCTGAGCTGGGTAGGATCTGGAGGACCCTAGATGGGAGGGAGAGGCCTTCCAGGCAGAGTGGGGGACACCAGCAGGGAAGTCTAGTGGGTGAGCCTACTCAGGACAAGGCCTCCAAGGTGAAGGGGTTATGCCATAAAATAGCATCAGGCTGGGGTGCATAGAGCAGGCCAAGCTGAGGGACGACTCTGAGGACTGGGCTTCTACTCCAGAGGAGATGAGAAGCCATTGCAGATAGAATGTGGCTTCTTACAGCTTTATTCAGCTCCTTTGCTAATGTTTCAGAATGGTTTGGGGGAGTTTTTTGTTTGTTTTGCTTTGGTTTGGGGTTTTTGAAGGGGCTTGAACTCAGGACATTGGCACTATCCTTGTCTTTTCTTTTCTCAAGGCTAGCTCTATACCACTTGAACTACAGCTGCATTTACAACTTTTTGGTAGTTCATTGGAGATAAGAGTCTCACTGACTTTCCTGCCCAGGCTGGCTTTGCACCATAATCCTTGGATCTCAGTCTCCTGAGTAGCTAGAATGACAGGTGTAAATCACCAGCATCCAGCTTAGAATGTTTTTTATATGTATTTGTAAATTTCCTTCTTTAATAAGCTTACAATTCAGTGGTGGATTCACTGTCACTACTGTCCATCTGGGGTATTTCTGTCACTCTATTCGAAAGGCACCCTTTCTTTACCTGTCACATCCACATAAATTTGCTTTTGTATTTCTTGTTTTGTTCCATGTCGGTAAGTTTTTCATCTTGAAGTATTTGACTTCTCTGGTGTTTAGTAAGTGTATGCATTCAGGTCACATTTTCATAAAATATTAGCAAGGATGCGAGTGTTTGGTGCACAAGAAACACTGAGCTCACACCTGTAATCCTAGCTACTCAGGAGGCTGAGATCTAAGAACCAAGGTTCAAAGCAAGCCCCAGCAGGAAAGTCTGTGGGACTGTTATCTCCAGTTACACAGCAAAAATCTGGACGTGGAGCTGTGGCTCAAGTGGTGTCAGCCTAGAGCAAAAAAGCTAAGGGTCAGTGCCTAGACCCTAAGTTCAAGCCCCAACATATGCGCGTGCACGTGCGCACGCGCGCGCACGCGCACACATACACACACACACAGAAATGCTAATTTGTCATTTTGCTCTGCTTGGGTTCCAGGTAAGGGCATCTCCACCATGGAAGAGTCTGTGACCCTGGACAATGGAGGGTTTGCTGCCCTGGAACTCAACAGTCGCCACCTCAATGTCAAGAGCACCTTCTCCAAGAAGAACGGGACCAGGTAGGAGGCCATGGTGGGCCATGGTGGACTGAGCCAACCTGGGCTGGTATGGCTGAGGACTGACCCCAGTCCTACCAGGAGGGCCCCTGGCTCCCCCTGTGTACACCCCACCCAACTCCACCAGGCAGCTTTGGGTCTGGAAGCAGGAGCCCCGATAGCAGACAGCTTCAGCCAGCCCCTGGAACACTTCCAGGGTTGGGAGAAGGGCCAGGACCTCAGAGGTAGTAAGGAATGCAGACAAGAATCATTGGCCGGGACTGGTGACTGATGCCTGTAATCCCATTACCACAGGGCTTCATGAGGTAGTTCCAAGCCAGACAGAATTTTATCTCAAAGACACAACAAACAGAAAGGGTGCCTTTCCTACCTCTGTGCTCTTTCTTAGTTTCACCAGAAAGAAAAACTTCCTGTGACCCACTCAAAACCATCACCTGCCTTTAGATCCACCCACTCCAAGAGTCTGAGAAGGAAGAAAAACCAGACTTTGGAGGATGCTTTCCCAGGGAAGGAGTACTGGGGAGGGGGGTTCTCATGGGCCAGCAGCACTGGGTGCCGGGGGGAGGGGGCGTCTCTCTCCACTGGGCTCCTGTTCATACTGGTTCTTACAAACACATGGGAAATCCAGATCATCAGGACACTGCAGGCCAAAGGTCTCCACCACCACCCCCACCACCCCCTTCACTGTGCTCAGTGCCCAGAGGTTCCACACTGCCCTTCCTGCTGGGGAGGCTCAAATTGTTTGAAGAGCGCTTCCCCGCCCCCACCCACCCCCCACCCTACCTCCGAACTGACTGAGCTGATCTCAGTCTTTGGAGACAGCAGGTTCCAAACAGGTCTTCTGCGTGCAGCTGACCCTTTGCCTTCACCATTGGTGGCAAGTCCCAGGCAAAATAGGCTGCCAGCCCCCAATATGCCTCCCTTAGGACTGGAGGTAGGGTTAGTGGAGCCCTGGTCATGTCCCCTCATGCCCCTTGTCTGTGGAGAGGCAACATTTTCCTCGTCTGACTTGGAAACATGAGAAGGCAATCACCAGTCCAGGCATGGTGGTGCACACCTATAATCCCAGCAACAGCAACATGGGAGCTGGAAATGGGAGGATCATGATTTGAAGCCAGCCCAGGAAAAAATATAAAGTTCACAACACACCAGCCAGACACTGGTGGCTCACACCTGTCATCCTAGCTACTCAGAAGGCTGAGATCTGAGGATCACAGTTCAAAGCCAGCCTGGGCAGGAAAGTCCATGAGATTCCTCTCCAATTAACCACCAAAAATCAGGAAATGGATCTATGACTCCAGTGATAGAGAAGTAGCCTTGAGTAAAACAAAACAAAACAAAAAACATTAGCAACACTTCCCCACTTCAAAAAATAAGCCTAGTATGGTGAGACCTGTTTATAATCTCAGCCACAGAGGAAGCTGAGTGAGGAAGGAAGAACACCAATGGAGGCCATCTGGGAGAGGAGGGCAAACTAAGCAAAAGAAAGTAGGAGTGTAAAAAATAAGAAGGCAAGAATTGCAACGCCAAGAGAGATTTGTTACAGAGATATATATGTATATATGTATTATACACTGTGCTTCCCGCTACAGCGCTCTCTTCTGGCCTCTGAGAAGAGAAGCTCATTGCCTTGAGGTACTTGCCCAAGGATGAACAGTTGTCCTGTTTATTAAGTCTGTGTACTGTCTAGGAAAAAAAAAAAAGGAAAAGCATTTTCTGCTGAAGCTGGAGAATCTCAGTGTACCAAGACATCTGGTACCAGCAGAACGCAGGCCCGTGTGGCTCAAGGAGTGCTGTTAAAAAGCCTGGGTGGGCCGGGCACTGGTGGCTCATGCCTGTAATCCTAGCTACTCAGGAGGCTGAGATCTGAGGATCGCAGTTCAAAGCCAGCCCGGGCAGGAGAGACCGTGAGACTCCTATCTCC